GGTTTTCGAATGAAACTTTTTTCAAATGGTTTCTGTGATTTTTTTTTTTTAAATTTGAAACATTTGAATATCGACTTTCAATTGTTTTTGTTATTCAATTTAGACAAGAAAGATGGATACTGCGAAAATTCGAGTGATTTTTTAATACGAGTTCCGACGCGGAACTAACGCGGCAGAAACAACCCGCAATATCAATGCTGCGTTTGGAGAGGGGTCTACTAATGAACGCACCGTGCGATTTTGGTTTAAACGCTTTCGTGATGGAAATTTCGACTTAAAGAACGAGGCACGAGGAAGACCGCCCACACAGGTGAATAACGATGAATTAAGAGAGATAGTGGAAGCCGATCCTAGTCAAACTACCCAGGAATTAGCGGCATGGTTTAACGTTACCTTACCCACAATATTGACTCACTTGCGTCAAATCAATAAAATAAAAAAATACGAAAAATGGGTGCCTCATGATTTGACTGATCTGCAGAAAGAAACGCGTGTTGAAACTTGTGTTGCCTTGTTGAACCGGTACAGAAATGAAGGAATATTGGATCGAATTGTAACATGTGATGAAAAGTCGATTCTTTATGATAACCGGAAAAGAAAAATGCAATGGCTGACCCCAGGTCAAATACCACAACAGTGTCCTAAAGCAAAACTTACCAATAAAAAGGTAATGGTAACTGTTTGGTGGTCTCAGCATGGTGTTATTCACTATAGTTTTCTCCGATCTGGTCAAGCAATAACGGCAGATGTCTATTGTGCCGAACTCCGAACCATGTTGACAAAACTAGCAGTAAAACAGCCCCGACTCTTGAATCGATCTTCACCATTATTGCTCCACGACAACGCGAGACCTCACACAGCACGAGAAACCATTTTGACCCTTCAGGAACTGCAGTTAGAAACCATTCGTCATCCTCCGTATTCACCAGACCTTGCTCCAACGGACTACCATTTTTTTCGTGATTTGGACAATTATCTACGTGACAAGAAGTTTTCTTCCCAGGAGGCAGTACAAAATGCTTTCACACAGTTTGTGCAGTCTAGACCGTCGGAGTTCTATCGCAAAGGCATTAATAACCTTCCCATTAGATGGCAGCAATGTATAGATAATAATGGCAACTATTTTGATTAAATAAATTTGTTAAAAATTTAAAAAATAAACAATTTAGATTTTCAGTACAAATCGGCAATTTCATACTTTAACCCCTATTATTACAACACTGTCCGGTGCGGACGTGTTTTGCGAGTACGCGGTGACAAAAAATATTTATTTGAATTATTACGGAGTCTTAAGAGTGATATCTTTGAGTGAGATGGCTACCAGATGCAGTGGTTGTGATACAGAAATTTATGGTATTTCTTTTATGGAGTGTTCAGGTGGGCAATGTAGAAAGTTTTACCATTTGAAGTGTGTTGGTATATCAGCGGAAGCGTTTAGTGCATTCAAGGACGAACACATAAATAATTGGATTTGTCCGGAGGTACATATGTGCTCTAAACCAAAGCGGAATAATATAGATACGCCAAGTAAAAGGTATTGCAATGAATGAAACTTTTCCTCCGAGCAGTTTCGTAAACACGAAACGCGGGATTCGCCTCAAATCGTCCGGGATCTCAACAGACGACAAAGTAAACGAGATGTTATTACGAGATCTGCGGGAATTTCGCGCTGAAATGAATTGTCGATTGAATGTGCAAATTAAAGCTTATAAGGTGTTAGAAGATCGCTTTATAAAAGTAGAAACAGAATTACAAGAATTTGCAAAATACGTGGCAGTAGTGGAAGAAAGAACAAACATTAATGAAAGTGAGCATATTAAAATTGATAATTATAGTTTGGAATTAGGCGCCACTGGTAGAAAAAAGAAAGATCAAGCAACAATTACACCTTCGTGTGATGGTAAAAATAACACATCGTTTACAAACATTACGAAACGAAATATAAAGGACGTACCTATTAAAAAAAGTAGTGCCATAAGAAGAGCGAAATCACAAAGTAATGACGTGCAAATAAGAGAGGAGGTAGTATTGGATAGTAACGTATCTCTTAAAAATCAGGAAAATAAAATAGAGAAAGAGGACGACTGGACCGAAGTAAGACGCTAAAAAAATAGGTACCACTTTAACGAAGTACGGAAAGGCGGAAGTACAAGTTCTTCGGAAATTCATGGGACAGAACGAAAAAAGTTTCTACATGTGTGGCGGCTAAAAAAAGAAACTACGATTGAAAATTTCGAAATATATATAAGGAAGTTATGTGTGCCCGGAGTGCCAATCATAATTGAAAAGCATAAAACGGAACGTGATTATGCCTCATTCAGAAAAGGAGTTCCTGAAAGCATTTACGAAAAGTTATATCAACCAGAGTTATGGCCAGATAATGTAGAATTTTGTGAACGGATTTGGTTTCGAAAATCAAACGACAACTCAAAAAAGTAAGAGAATCCATTGAAATTTGCTACCTGAACGTAAGAGGTCTTCGAACGAAGCTAGATGCGTTTAGCACGGGGATTGTGCGTTCGGGGGCAGATCTTTTTGCAATTACGGAGACGACCTGTAATAGTTCAATCCAAGATGCAGAATTAATTCCACCAGGATATAAAAATATTCGGAGTGGCCGAACAGATGGACGAAAACAAGGAGGCGCGCTTTTAGTGGCCACGCCGCGCTGACAATCATGTGTTTGAATACGTTTTTGCAAAGACATATTTACGCGATAGATTTCTGTTTTTATGTTGCGTTGTCTATATACCACCGCGTAGTAGTGAGAACGAATACATGGTATTATTTAAGACAATAGAAAATATCTCTCTTATGAATAAAGAAATATTAGTCATAGGCGATTTTAATTTGTATTCTACTTCCGCAGTAATTTGTAATTATTTTGAATTTTTTATGTTCTATTGTGGATTTACTCAGAGAAATGAGGTAGGTGATTGCAACGATCGTCAACTTGATTTGGTATTGACGACAATGGGAGAGGGTGTCAGTGTATGCGCGGCGAACGAGTCGCTGGTACCGCTAGATGCGTACCACCCACCGCTTGTGATATCAGTCTCGTTGGTCGGCGGTGGCGTAGCGACTTCAGTGCAACAAATCAATACATATGATGGCCAACCACAGTGGAACTTTCGTAAAGCCAACTACCCATTGTTGTATAACTTAATAGCTTCAATAGATTGGAGTCCGTTGTACGAGTTGGGCGACTTAGGGTCGTATTCTAGAACTCTACTCAATGTATAATACGACCCTAAGGTTCGTATTCCAGAACTCTACTCAATGTTCAAGTCAGGATTTGAGCAGACTTGAGTATGATTTCAAGCACTGGAAATACGACCCTAATGGCAAGGACTGGAGTATGATTTTCAGTGCTCATTGCATTACTCAAGTCCTGTGACTTGAGTATTGAGTAGAGTTCTGGAATACGACCTAGAATCTGTTTTACTGTTTTTTTATGACAATCTAAATCAAATTATTAATTATTGTGATCCATTTAGATATAAAATTACTATGCACTCAAAATACGTGTACCCTGAGTGGTATACTGCAGAACTTATTCGAGAAATAAAACTTAAGGCCCTTCTTCACAAACGTTATAAAGCTTATAGTAAGTCGAGTGTCGATTATGAAGAGTTTTCTTTGTGTAGGGCGCGTGTTAAAAAATTATAGAACGGGCCCATGAGAGCCACAGGGATAGTGTGCAGAAACATTTAGTGGAGGACCCCAAGTCTTTTTGTAATTATATTCGATCGAAAAGAGGTAATCGAAATTCCCAAATCATTTTGAAAGAAGGGGTCGTTTTAATTGGGGAGCAATGCACTGAAGAGTTTGCTGAACATTTCCGTTCGGTGTGCAGTACGGAGCGAACTAAGCTAGACGTAGACAAAGCAATAATAGGGGCGGCAGCGAAAATGGATCAGCTAGAATACACATAGAAAAGCTGCAATTATCTGATGTGGGGAGGTCGCTCGCAAAGCTCAAGCCAAAGATATCCGCTGGTCCTGATGGAATACCAGCTAGCCAGCGGTGGCGGTGTTATCAACGCCAGCTAAAGTTTTTGAAGCAGGTATACAAAAAAGTATATTTGATCAGGTGAATGCGCAACTCTCACATACACAGCACGATTTCCATCCAGGTCGAAGTACTACAAGCAACCTTTTAAATTACGTAACGGAAATTATTGTGCTAGATGGTAGCAGAGGGCAGGTAGATGCCGCATATTTTGATATCCGTAAAGCTTTTGATGTGGTAGATAATGACATCCTACTAAGAAAGCTGGCTGGTGTTGATTGCACTCCCCGCTTACTAAAATTTCTGGCAAGTTATATGGAGAACCGGCAGCAATACGCAGGCGTGAGCCAAGGGTGCAATCTCGGGCCTCTTCAATTTATTATTATGGTAAATGATTTACCGAATCTTATTAATCACTCAAGCTGCTTATAATTTGCGGATGACCTTAAACTGTTTAGTTCAGTTAAAGGAGATGGGGACTGTGCATGAAAGTGGTGGCATGGGGTAAAGACAATAAGCTTCAATTTAACATCTCTAAGTGTGTAATGATTTCATTTAGTAGAGCTCGTAACCCTATTCACTATGAATATAAAGTCGATGGGGTGCTTATAAGAAGAGTGACGGAGGTAAAGGATCTAGGAGTATTATTTACAGCAGAATTAACGTTTCGCGAGCATATTGAAACTATATGTAAAAAAGCGTACAGAAATTTAGGGTTGATAAAGCCCTTGTAAGAAGCCTCCTTGAGTGTAATGCGGTAGTCTGGGCTCCACATCTAACGCGGTATAGTCTTATGTTGGAGAGCATTCAAAACAAATTCGTAAGATATCTGTACTGGAGGCAATACGGGGTTTACCCCTTCTACCCCCTAATGTATCCTAATCTGTTTATCTTGGGTATGGTGAGATACAACGAGCTACACGTGCGCAGGAACTTAACGTTAGCAGTGTACGTGTTGAAGGTTATCAGAGGTATCCGATGCTACTAAGGTATTAGGCTTATGTGTTCCTTGTCACCGCTACTGGCAGTATCGCGTGGAAGGACAAATCTAATGATGGAATGTCCACTAACACTGCACACCCTGAACGAAATATAGAATAGGATTGGTCTGTTCCATTGTTCTCTGAGTGAAAGCACAAAGATAGCGCTTTATGTCTTGTGCTACATGTAGTAATTTTTGCTGGTCTATTGCATTGGGTGGATAACCTGGGGTCGTATTCCAGAACACTACTCAATGCTCAAGTCAGGATTTGAGTATGATTTAAAGCACTAGAAATCATACTCAAGTCCTTGCCATTAGGGTCGTATTTCCAGTGCTTGAAATCATACTCAAGTCTGCTCAAATCCTGACTTGAGCATTGAGTAGAGTTCTGGAATACGACCCCTAGTGTGGAAATAAATAAATGAATAAATAAAATAAAGTGCTTTCTGACATTGTCAAAATCAAAATGACATTTATTGTTTTTCAGGTGTCAGTGTCAGTTGATCGTCGTGACCAAAGGTCGTGACCGTGGAATCATCAATCTCAATCGCTATTGAACAATATTATTAACTGACAACATTAATCGAAACTGACACTGGCCCAGGCCTAGTGGCCGCCATGAAGGAAAGAGAATAGGATCCTCAAAATCGTCAAAAATTTAATTTTATGACAAGAAAGCGGTGTTAATAAATTCGAAACGATTAAAAGATGGTATCCGCGTATTTTGCATTAAAATTAATAAGACGACAAAGACGTGCTCGGCAGAAGAAAAGGACTGAACATTGGCAAAGTGAAAATACGAGCACCATAGAATTGTCTACTTTATCAAGTGCAGAAAAATGCAGGATATGTTTAAAAGTAGGTAAAATACCTATTTACAATAAAGACACTCCAGAATTAGTGGATCAGATTAAAACGTTTGGAGATATTGAAGTTGATGAAAATGATAGTTTCCCTAAATTTCTGTGCGATGTTTGTTACTCTAGGCTTCAAAACGCAGTGTTATTTAGAACATCTGCTAAAGAAACTGATGCTCTACTATGTCAGAACACCAATATTGAAACATTTGAGTCTGATAACATTTCTAATAATGATATTAAGGATTATGAAATGAACAACATAAAAAAGAAATATAAGTGTAAATTACGTAAACAAACATTTAAAACAACAGATGAGTACCATGCACATGTGAATTCCAAACAACATAGACATGTCCGTGTACAATGCCCAGTTTGTTACGGTTTATTCACAGCACATTTATATGAGAGACATCTAGCACGTCATCAATCTGCCTCACATTTAATATGTGAAGTCTGTGGCAAGATGTATAGAAAAGACAACTTGATACGTCACCTTAAGTTACATAGTTTTGAATTGCCTTATCATTGTAAAATGTGCCCATATAGGGGAAGATCTACAGAGTCTCTCAAAATACATATGCGAACACATACAGGGGACAAACCATATTCATGCGATAAATGCCAGTTACGGTTTTTGACACGCTGTAATCTCAGTAGACATCTTTTGACACACCAAAAGGAACGACCTTATAAATGTTATGAATGTGGAAGAGGGTTTTATATAAAACGTGACATGGAAATACATGTTAGATCAGATCATGCCGGTATAAAAGAATTTGGATGTATTTTGTGCGGTAATAAATATGGTACAAAGAAAGCTTTGATGAGACATGAATTGAGAGTTCATAAGAGACAGAAAATGGCAAAAGGACGTATGCCTTTGTATTTACAGGCTGAATATAGAAAGGAGAATGAATCTTTGTAAATACATGACTCGTAAAAGTTTCAAGGAATTTTAAACCTTAATATTTTAACTGTTACTGTTATAACTGTATGGATTATTCAGGCTGAAATAAAATAAAGTAATTATAAATCATAATACATTGAAACTTTATTTGTAATATCAAGATACATAGTGTGTTATTACTTAAAACCAGTGCTACTTATTTATATATTCAATACAATTAGTTACCAATTTGAGGAACTATAGATAGATACAGAAAATTTCACATCCTTGTTGAAATAAGTTACGAAAATATAATTTGATATTTGTTGGCATAGGATTACAAAATCTACTGTTGTATATTTTGTTTATATTTTTATGCAAATAGATATTTACTATAAAATTGGTGTTACAAAGTGTTATCACAGACACAGGTGCCTAATAACCATATATAAGGTTTATATTTACGCTGTTGCTTTTAACAGTTAAGTCATAGAAACTATAAAATACTTTTGTAAGACATAAAAGTTAAAACCAAGAGAGATAACCGTTACAAGTGTTTCATCACTGGTGAAATTGTGCATAAAATCATACACATTTAATACAATTTGAAATGTATATTAATTTCAGTTACCAGTATGGAAACTTTTTACTGGTAAATTGTACTTTATTAGCATGTATTTTGTGTTAAATTTTGGATACTCTCAAATGCTTATAATTGTTACCTGTTTCAGTTTTATGTTTTCAGAAAAGTATTATTCTTAGCCAATAAAATTTGCTCTTTTATGGCTGTCATTTTCAGGAACTAAAAACTGGCACCTATGTCTACAAATAAAAATTATCTATACTTTTCTATATTACAATGGAAGATCAACTCGCTATATTGTATAATCTAAACAAAGGCCACATTATCACTTATGTAGTATATTGGACAGGATGTATTATACTTATATAAATATATATAACTTTACCTGACATTGCAATAAAAACCTGAGAGTTTTATAATGTGTTTGATTGTTTGAATTATTGCTCAAAATTTTACAATAACATCCATACCATTAATTTGCAATAAAAGTGTTACTAATTGTTCCACATTACAATCTTATTTGATAATTTTTGTAAACAATAATTCATGATTTTAATGTATTACTTTTATCAATAAAGGACACTTATTCATACTATAATAGGTAAACATTAAAACAAGTAAATAGGTAAAAGATTTGTAAATAGTGACTAGCTTAGTTAATACTCAGAACATCTATTATAATAGTATAAGTACATCAAAATAGAAAACACACCACAACACTATACATAATTTGCGATTTTTTGGTCCAATAATTTTTAACCAAAATTAAGGAGGCAAAAACTTTAGCTATTTAGGACGGAGGTAATAAAAAAAAATCTGTGTTCTATAAAATAAAATCTCCTAAAAGGCAGATGTGGAAATAGAAGAATGTTACAAAAATAGATGTATTTTTATAAATTGGCATTCCCTTGGCAAATGGCACATTCTGTATCAGACTGGGGATATTGTTACAACTTTTGCTTGCACCAAAAGAGCAACTTGTTTGTTATAGAGTTTTTTGGCTTAGTTATTATTAAAGATGACAGAATTTATGGCACTCTTTACACATTGCTGCTTCAATAGTGGCCCAAACCAAATAAGGCCTTTTTAGTTTCATCCGTAGAACAAAGATCTATGTGCAAGACATAACATAGAACATAGTACAATTTGATTATCACTAGTATCAGGTTTCTTACCACGGTATGACTTCTTTTTATTTTCCCGATACTAGTGATAATCATTTAGTGAATAACCACGAAAGTCTTAAATTCTATATAGTACAATTCGTTCGTTCTTCTTCGCTGTGAATGGGAGATCGACCATAGTTTTTTATTTTATATTTTCGAAAATAAGATATAAAATTGTCAAAACGCCTTTACATAGGCCTTCGTTTGAATAACGAAATTTTTCTCTTGTAACATAGTTATTCTCTTTTCGCTATATAATCACATCGGACTCTGCTCTTCGGATAAGTTGAAATATTTATTCAGAATGTGCTAAATTTCATTGTGAACAAAACCCTGAACACATTGCTTAAAATAACCATGTTACAAAATTGAGCGGGTGTATAGGTTTCATTGGTTTTGCATGCTCAATACGCCTCAGTTTTTTTACATAAAGATCCCTCTCAATCAGGCGTTTTCGGGATAGCCCGCTATTTTAGAAAGTCATTAATAATACGTAACTACAAGATTCAATTCAGGTTATTTCGTACTATGACATTTGTGAATAATATTGTAAATAATAAAAGTGTACAATTGTCTATTTACAAAGAGCAATCCCTACAGTTTGATGCTTGTTCTTCTCAGGGGAATCTTTATGTGTAGTGGTTTTTAATTATTTTATAAGTAATTTGCTTACCTATGTAATATACACTTTTTCAAACAAGCTCCGAAAAGCACCTCATAAATAGTACATGATGATACAACTTGTAATTGCTTTCCCAACGAATTAGGATATTTTAAGTTCTGTTTAAGTTTGTTTTTGAATATGAAATTGCTACAGAAACGGTTTAATGCAAGAATTACTTGTTGGCATAATTAGTCATAAGAAGGCCCCTTGCACATTGTAGCAATAAATACAGATGCAAACCAGAACTCAACTAGCTGTATAGCCAGCATGAGTGAGCACCAAATGTATTCAATTCGAAGACAGACCTTCTGGAACACCAGGAGGTAGAGGACACAGAAGATGGATGGTATAGTTATCAACACTGAGGTGAATACTGGGACGTCTGAAACAATAAGACAAATAGAAATAATAAGTTTTATTGCAAGGGTGACTTGTACAAGGCTTGTGCAACTTAACCAGTTGATAAAAGGTAAAAAAAATATTGTATATAAATATATATAGTTGCCAACACATTAAGGTAAATTTATGACTCATTTGGCTTACTATCTAGTTATACCCACTGGAGTATTTATTAATTTTGTTAAATACACAAGAATTCCCATGAAAAAATATGTTATTAATAACCAATTTGGAGAGTCACATCTAAACTTACAGACTTGAAATTCTTTTTAATTAAGGATTTTTAGAGTATTGTAATGTGTATTCTTCAATATTATATGACTGGAATTTATGTAACCACAGAATGAATATTCTTGTATGTTTTAACTTAAGATTCAATTGATTCTTGATATAGTCGCCATTCCTAAATTTTTTGGTGTTCTTTTTTTGAAAATATTTTTTTGTTTGTCCATGACAAAGCCATACCATCATAAGCCATCAACATAGGCCAAAAAGGCTAGGGTATAAAACAATACTAAATTCTTATTTTAAAATATTGACCTAATTTTGCTAATTATAATAAAAGAGATCATACCTTTTTCCTTCAAACTGCCTCTTCGTCCAAGAATGAGCCTCACTGCTTCAGCAATAAATAATCCGATTAACACCCCGTAATCCTGTATGAGATCTCTCTCATTATATTTTGCGCCAAGTAACACGCTTTTCAATATCATCGTACCGAGCTCACATGTTGCAAATAGACCAAAATAAAACGAATTTATGTATAGCAGAATTTCGTACATCAAACTAGGGTTCACCATTTTGTCTTAAACTTTACAGAAACAAAAGAACGTGTTAAAGTTTTTTTTTAAATGAATAAGAATTTTTAAAAATAGAACACTGCACTGGCAACTAAAACTGTAACAAAAATCAAAACAACATGACACAGAGTCATTGGCAATTTGGCAGGTTGCTGACATTGACAGTTTGTGATTTTATTGCTACTTGCAAAAATACCTTAGGAGATGGAAACAAAAATACTGTGTTTTATAACTTGAAAATCGTTAAACATAGCAGTCACGCACGTCGTACGTCATCAGGTACGCACACTCAAGAGCAAATCAAGCTTGACACTTGGGAATGCTTAGTAAGTGTGCTAAGCAATAATCTTTTGAGATAATACGTACATATACATATACCAGTATCTAGTGCTGATAGAGACTATTCTAGCTGATTCACTATTGGTTGTTTTTCCTGTTTTCTGTACACCTCTGATGTACAGAACACAACTCATTGTGTACATTATCATCATCATATCAGCCGTAAGAGCCCTAAAGATTTCCAGGCTGATCTGACGCGACGTGCATCCATCGGTTACCCGCTGTCCTTACCAGCAGCTTTATTTTGATTGTCTCTCCCGATCGGGAACTGCGTCTTTTCCGAGTCGATGGGCTACCCGATCGGATCGATTCCGGTTTGAATTAAAATCAGGGCCAAGGTCATCCGTCCATCTAGTAGGGGGCCGTCCTAGTGAACGCCTTCCGGTTCGTGGTCTCCATTCGAGAACCTTTGTGCCCAAACGGCCGTCAGTTGTACGAGCTGTGTGCCCTGCCCACTGCCACTTCAACTTGCTAATCCTTTTGAACTACGTCGGTAACTTTCGTTCTTCTACGGATCTCCTCATTTCGTATTTGATGACGTAGAGAAGTGCGAGCACTGCTTGCTCCATAGCTCGCAGAGTGACTTTGAGCTTTTTTATGATAGCCCATAGTATGTGACCACGTCTCGGAGCCGTAGATCATCGCCGGCCACACGCACTGCTCGAAGACTTTTGGCTTGACTGCGGTATTGCGGACAAGAAAGAAGACGTCCCGGAGCTTCCCGAAAGCTGCCCAACCGAGACGGATTCGACAATTGCCCTTTATCTCGAAGTTGACTCTGCCTAATTGGACGGTTTGTCCGAGGTAAACATACTCGTCAACAACTTCCAGAGTAGAGGTTCCCACCTGCTAGGAAATTCTGTTGAGGTCACCGAGCATGATGCGAAGCTCCTCCAACGGTTCTACCATGACCACGACATCGTCAGCAAATAGAAGGTGAGTGATGTACTCGCCATTGATGTCGATGCCGGCGATCTTCCAGTGCAGTGGTGAACAGTTTCGGAGAAAGGATGTCTCCCTGTTGCACCCCTCTTTGCAACAGGATAGACCTTGTGCACGTCCTGGATTCGAACTGACATAGTGGAGTTTCTGTACAAAAATTTCAACTTTTCGATATATCGACAGTCAATGTGGCTGTACTGTGACTGTAGCACCGCCCAAATGTCGATCGAATCAAGGCTTTCTCATACTTAGTCCACAAACGCCTCGCATAATGACAGGTTATCTCTTCGGTCTTCTGTATAACTTGCCGCAGCGTGTGGATAATCTATCTCACTGAAGCCCTTTCGGAAACTGGCTTGTTCGGGGGGCTGAAAGTCATCGAATCTGCGCGCGAGATGGTTCGTGATGACTCGTGATAACAGATTTTGTTCATACAAAATTCCTGTTAATAAGAAAGTCTTCATTTTACTTGCCACTACAATAATTACTGCTTAAAACATAAAATACTGCCTTATAATAATTGTTATAATCAATGGCGTCGATTAAAATGGTTTCTCTAGAGCACAAATAAACGTTGACATTACACATTCTTGTAGTAATTTGTAAATTAACTGCTCGTAGACTATAGACGGAGACATCACATCTCTGTTTGTCTAACCTACTAACCCAGGGCAGTAATGTAACCGGTAAAACTTACGCGTTACATAGGTGCAAATTGCACAACGAGTGAAATGTTACTATACCTATACCATGTTCACTACGCACTGCTTAGGTATACTTAGATCATAGGTACGACACTTTATTTCAGTGTTTTTAATAAACAGTCCGTCAGGTAAATTACAAACACTACAATCGGTAAAACAGTCCTTATTATTCGGTGTCATTATATTTGTTCATAATCTTCAAAATAACTTCAAAATAGGTTTAAAGATATTACGTAGATACTATAATGTCAAGGTTATGTAACAACCAATACATGATTATGTAGCAGTACAGTTGCAGTGGTACTGCAACTGTTGTGGTTAGGCGTGTCGGTGACTACCAGACACACGACCACAAACTACTAAGAGATACTACTCACGAACTTATTTGTCCAGTCACCTCGTCACATGATATCATAAAACAATGTGAGTAACATTTTGATGACGCGTTTAAAAGGTATTTCTGAAGTTAAAAAGATTTTTCAGGTCATGTAAGGTAAACAATGATTAGGTAGGTATCTCATTCTTTGCGCGTTATATCGCTACAAGCGCGACATCTACACAGTCATGTCAAGTAGGCATGAAATTCGTCTGAATCTTTACGTTCTTCATTTCATACAAGAAGTCGCACTTTCTGGTTATATACTCGATGTCACACTCACACCTTGATATTATTTTCTTATAAATCAGTTGTAATTACTTTTATTACGCTATAATCTCCAATTCAAAAGCTATTGTCGTATAATATCTACTTTCATAGATAATATTGCGGTAATTGCCTCCAAATTGCCACCAAGTTAGTTACAAGACCACACCTATATATCTACAAATGTAGATAGTTGCCTGATTTATCTATAAATCACAAATATTTTATAGTCGGAGCGGCAATTAAAAACAGAGTTTTTTAAATAGATAGTTCGAAATATCTTATCTTCTTTTGATTAGCAATAAAAATTGATAATTTATATTTGATTGGCATGGCGGTTTATCATTTATGATTATTTACCTGCAATTCTTTGAATCTGGATTTCATTTTCTTTATAACCGCCGCCGTCTGACGGCGGGGGAGAGCGGCGAAAAGGCGAAAATATTTTCACAATGAAATAGTATATAAATAGTAATAAATACCACTCAGTCTTCTCGTCTGACGACGGTTTTTTCTAAACAAGTAAAATCGCCAAAAATATAAAAAAATATTCTGGCTAATTGTATCTAGTAAAGTTTTGTAAAATTGTCCTCAAGTGTTGCTGTTCTAGCACCTTTGTCGCTAGATCTAGGGGATTTTATGCATGTTTAGCGGGTAAAAATTTGTTTTTAGCGAGAAAAAAATATTTTGCTACTTCTAGCGTCTTTTGACCGCTAGGCTCTTTTCAGAAACAAACGCTATAACCTGTCTATTAATTCAATTCAATTCAATTTCGTAGTTCTAACGCTGATAACACTAACGTAGAATCGGACTGAACGGTAATGCAATAAACAAACTCTCAACATCCATTCGTTCGTTTGATGCCTTTCTCGCTCGTTACAATTAGGAATGAAGAAGACAAAAACCTATTGATTGAAATTTTTTCACTCACAGAATGATGAGATAAATATAATTATTTTTTGTTTGTTGTGTTCAAAATTAAATTAAAATAAATGCTGTTTGGTTCATATCGTCGTAATTATTTGTAATTTTATTTACTGTTTGTGAATCAAATTCGATTTTCAAATAAGCATGGAAGTACCGCCAAAAAAAAGCGTAAACTCAGAATTATAGAAGCAAAAGGGAAAAGTACGAATAGTTCAAACATTGTTTGAAACCAGTACCAGGTGACTCCACAAAAGCATTTTGTAGTTATTGCCACCGCGAAATGTACGCAGAAATTAATGACTTGAAATAGCATTTAAAAACAAAAAAGCAAAAAAAAATGCGAACTAATTTCTCAGAATAGACAATTGTCATTTTCTCCAAGGACTGTAAATGTATGCAACTTTTATGCAAGAGTGGGGTGTGCTAACGCACTGTATATCGCTGAACATAGCTCAATTCGTCAGAGTGACCAATTGACTGATGTGTGTAAAAAATGTTTTAAAGACTCAAAATCTACGCAACTGTAGTCTAGAGACATCTAGCGGATTTTAAGAAATTATTTTTACCCAAATCTAGCGGAAAATTTCTGACCATCTAGGGATTTTCAATTATGTACAACGGCAACACTGGTATTCACCGCGGAAGACAGGGACCCCGCCACTTGTTTCATCGAGCGATACGTAATCTTTCTCGATAGCTTATTTACCTATTTTTAAAATTATGTTTATGTACTAGTATTGTTATAATTTACTAATTATTTACATTAGTTAGAAAAGTTGACTGAAAAAAGATTTTTTGTACTTAGATTTGATACTTATCAACTTTAGGTTACATGAAAGTAGTGTTAGAAGTACCTACCTCTACAGCTGGTGGCAGGCTCCGTACCGGAGTTAGCCACAGATATGCAGTTTCCTTTCAACTTAGCACATTCTTGACAA